CTATTCAACTTGCACAAGTTTGTGCAGTGATGCAAGAGTAGTTTCCTGCCCTGTGGAGATCTTCAGCTCCATATGTGAGATGATTGAGGCCCTCAGTGACATGGTTTAGTGGTGGACTTGGCAGTCCTGTAGTAATGGTTGGTCTTGATGATCTCAAAGGTCTTTTCCAACAGAGCTGATTCTATGATTCTCTGATGGAACTCCCATGTGTGGTCTAACAAGCTTGCTAGACCCCATCACACTTGGAGGAATATCAAAGAGATGAAGGTTGTGATCAATTAAAGCATTTTCAATTCTAATCAGCCTTTTCTTCCAAGTCTCCCCTCCTTTGTACCTTTGCCCTGCCTGTCCCTCCCTGTGAGCTGCAGCCAGCAGTGTTTATGATGTGTTATGAGCCACCACACGCCCCCCTCCTCCTGTGCTGGTGCAGCCATGAGGGTCTGTTGTTATTGCCATTTCTTCTCCTTGGGGCTTCACCCGTGTTCCTATTGATGTGCTCACCCATGTTCAGTGACCCTCTGTGGTGGTTCTCCATCCAGCTCCAGTGCCCCATGGAAGCACATGAGGTTAAATAGCATCACTTGACCATTACCCTTGGCCAGGAGCAGTCTGACCTATTTACTTATCAGAAGCTGATCTCCAAAGAGCTGTAATCAGCAATTGCAGCCAAAGGGACTAAACCTTGCAGGCTCATATGTCTCACTCGGCCTTTGGGATGCCAAGAGTGCACTTTTCTTGCTTGCTGCTGCTGTACTGTGGTGGGTGGGATGCCTTTCTATTTTCACCTTACCATTGACCTTATGATTTATTTTGTTTAACCTAAGCCTACTGAATTCCAGCCCTTCTTGTTCAGTCCAGTACAACCTGCAATATAACCTTACACCTAATTAGGTAAGCACACCGTGAGGCTTTGCTTACGTTCATTTTGCAGTGATTTATTTTTCTTCTCATACCCTTATGAAAGTGGACACCACCAGTGGTTGGTGGGGTCAGACTTCACCTTCTCTTGCATGAGCTTAAGTAAGCAAATGTCTTTGAGGAAACTTCAAAGGAGGGATTGAGAGAGGGGCAGCCTTTTAGCCCGGTAACGAGCAGCTTGGCATGTTGAGATCGAGCCCCAGCACGCTGCTGTATGTGTGGGCCACTTGGGTAAACCAGTAGTATTAGCCCAGAAGAAAGCGTGATTTGGGCATGATCTGATACAGCTGCATTTATGCCAATGACCTGATTTTGATTTCCAGAGATGGTGATCTAGTCCTTAATTTGTCGCTTACTGGATGTGGACAGTAGTAGTAGATTTTGATGAAGCTGTGCCATTATCTTCTAGAAGAGCATCTGGTCCCCTGCACAGACCTTTTGAAACGTGGCTAGAAATCACGTAATAGTGGGAACTTACTTCTATAACAGCAGAAATCATTTACAGCAAGGCCTTTGCCATTATTCCGCTGCATTTCTTTGACATATAAAAAGATTTTATATTGCATATTTTCCCATGCCCTTTCCCTGCTTACACTGTCTGCTTCGACTCGTTGCTAATGACGTTCGTTGACAAGCTCAGCGCATTTTGATAAGTCTTCTGCCAAAGTGTCTCTAATAAAAATAAGAAGAATGACAAGTGGAACAGTGCAAAAAAAGGATTCCAACAGCAACAATCGAAGGTTAAAGCAGCATAAAACAGGGGGGAAACATAACAAAAACAGAATGCAGTGAGCCCAGATCGCGCCTTTGTTAAGAATGTGTAATGCTTAGGTTTGTTTTATAGCCCTGGCTCTCAAGCTACCCGTGCATCTTAGATTCCCATCTTTTGCAGTTGTATGAATCTGCCTTCAATTCCTGGTGGAGCAGGGGCAACTCTGTGTTTTTACACATCTTTTTTACACCTTTAGTCGCATCGTTTTCCAAGAGCCAGAGTGAGGACATGTCTCCTGTCCATGGAAATACGACCACAGAAGGCTGGTGGTTCACAGCCCCTCTGCACAACTTGCTTCTCTGCTGCCAGAGGGCACAGATGCCGCAGCGGTGAGGTAGGGCAGATATAATGGAGAGCATGCAGCCAAGCATTTGGGACATTTCCTGGTTTGGCACTGGCCGGGGGTCCTTATGTGGACCTCAGCACAGCTGGGGAGAGCTGGTAAGAAGCTGCTCCAAGGGTGAAATTCCCAAACATGGCACCAGCTGTTGCCAGCGCTGCGTTGAAGCAGGGATTAAGAGCAGCCCTTAGACCTTATTCCTCAATCCATGTACCCGTTCCCTGCCTCCTCCACCATCACTGCTGCTTTTTGAAAGACACTTGTGATTTCTCAGCTCTGTGCCTTTCCCTCCTCCAAATGAAAGAAGAAACTCAGTCCGTAGAGCGTGCCTTTGCCTCTATTTGGGCTTCACCAAACCATGATGATGCTATTGTTAAATGATGATCTCATAAGACAGCTGGAGTATGTGTTTTAGGACGACGATCAAGGGGGAATAGATGTAAAACTGAATCGGCCCAGTGCGTGATTCCGGTTCACACAGTAAGCACATCTCCTCATGTCAGGGCTTAGTGGTGTGAGCTGGGATCGAGTGCAGGGGAAGTCAGTGACAATACCATTTAATACACACTGAATGACCTGTGTGAGATTCTGGAGCTTTCTGCAGAATTTAATAAAGCTTTTCAGCTGTTTCACAGATTGCCTTGACAACCTTTTCAAAGACGTGGGAAGGCCAAAGTATCTAAAACAGCTTTAAAGCCCTTGGCCCCAAATCTGGTCTGAGCACAGCTGTGTCTAACCCCACCGTGAGAACCAGAAAGCATCGGAGTTCACTGTTAGTGCTGCGAAGGTCTTGGTTTGGCACTTCTCCACTGTGAAAGTCCCTCTTTGAAGGGATCCCCCATTTCAGTTACAGGTGTGCCCAGAGCAGAGAGCAGGCGGCCTGGATCAGGGGACAGCAGCAGCTGCAGGGAAGGGTGACCCCACTGCTGTGTCCCTCATGTTGGCTATGGACCCTTGCTAACCCTGTTATCCGAGTCTATTTTAGCACCCCAAGGGGGAGCCACCATTTGAATACATAATGTAATGCCTTTTAGTCAGGATTAGGGGAAGATCATATCTGGGTTCCTCTCCTTGTGCCACAAATGGTATTTTTAGTGCCCTCAGCTGGAGTTTCTGAAGAGGAGAAGACTCTGCTTACCCCTGTAGGGGTTTTTCCAGTGGTATAAGTAACTCCTTCTGCTTGTTCCGTAATGCACCAATGGGACTTTTTGAACTTGTTCAGGCAAGTTCTGTTTTTGAAGGGAGTTTAGGTACCACCAGTTTTCATTGGAATTAAGCTCTCAAACACCTTCATCTGTTTGACACCAACTTACCAGTTCCTGTGGGGTCTGTCTATGAAGGTCCCTCAGGACATAAAGGAGTCCTAGGCCTCCTGTAAGGTACAGGTGATTGGGTTCCTCTGGGGCAGCTAGAAGTGCAGACCCACATGGAACAGCTTTTGGCTATGTGCAGGACCAGCACGGTGGGCTGGAGATGTGGGCTTGCTCATGGACACCAGATTTGGGATCTCTGAGAATTTGTTTTGTAAAGCTGGAGAGTGGTGAGGGCTTGGTTCTATCACCTGGGCCTGAGAAAGCTATATCCTGCATCCTTAAAAACCCCAGCAGTTGAAATAAGAAATAAAAAGGGCTCAGCATGCAGTAATGCCACTGAGGCACATGGGCATCATCTTGGGGGATGCTGTAAAAGCCCTCTAGGGTGAAATGGGCATGGCGAACCCCTGCTGTTCCCCTAACCTCACATGGCAGTGCAGCCCTGTGCTATGCTGAGCTCCCAAGGGATGAGAGCATCAAGGACTCGGACTGTAAGTCCTTCTCAACTGGACCCTACTCATGGACATTGATTGCAACTAGTCTAGATCAAACACTGAAAGCTAAATGGTACCCACTGCAGGTCTCCATCCTGGGAAATCTCTCTTGACCAGATCCATCAACTCAACACTCTCCATCTACTATGTCTTTTGGACAAAAGGAAAATCCTATCCTATAGGAAGCCAATACTAGAAACATAGAGCACACCCCAAACAACTTTTGAGTAATACCCTTAGAGCCCCAGTGGTCTGGGAGGGTTTTATAGTCTAAATATCATACCTGGGCCCCTGGAACAGGAGTGCAGGCATCCAGAAACTTGGCAGGTAACAAATCTCCATGCTTCAAAAGGCAGATGTCGTCATTGCTTGGCTTTGTGGCACCAGCACCTGGTTTGCTGGAATTGGTTTATGTCTGCCTTTCCTCTCCTGGCTCTTTAGAGGGATGTGATGACTGATTTCACTCAGGTCTCATCCCTACCCTGCAAACCCTACATTTCTCTTCACCTGCAGCACCCCATGGATGTTGTCTTGCTTCTGCCCTGGGCTGGTGTCATCGTGCTCCTCCTGGCACAGGGGCTTCACAGACCTTAGATCCCACATTTGCAGGTGGAAGAGGGGTCTCTGTGCCATAGTGCTGGTCCCATCTCCAGAGAAGATCTGCCCTGGAGCAGGACCCATGCTGAGCTCTGCCATAATGTGCTGGGGCTCAGGTCCCACCATCCACCCCAGGCGAGGTACAGTGCCTTCTTCTTTCTTCCCTCCAGAAAAGATTAATTTGGTTGCTTTGCAAGCTTATGTCAAATACCTTATTTTTTTTCCCTATGAAAAACAGAATTGCCACCAAAAGAAGTCATAAAAAAAGCAATATTTCAACAAGTTTGAATTAGAAAACTTGATTCTTTTTCTTATTTGGAACATTCCTTTTTAAACTCCTCTGAAAAATTCTACTTTGCAATCTAAACTATTTCTTTTCTTTCCTGGAATGTCCTTCAATTTTGCTTATACATCTCAAAACACCTCTCCCACCTCCCCTCTAAAAACAGTCTGTAAAGAAAATAAGTAATCTACTTTTGGGGCTGAGCAGAGCCATTGATCCATCCCAACAGGAAACACTGCACGCTTCCTCGTTCTCCAAAGAAAATCTTTCTCCTTTTTTCCCCCTTTTTGTCCCACAGTTTTTCCCCTTTGTTCCATGAGGTCGACTTGGGACAATTCCTCCCCTCCCCAGTTTTCAGTATTACACAAGTGGATCAGAAAAAATAGCCATTCAGCTGCTGTAACCGCAATCTAAATAAGAATGAGAAGATATTCCAGCTGTTTCTCTTGGTTTCCATTTTTCTCAGTTTCTGGCTCAATAGCTCCCAGAACCTATTACACTAATTGTTCTTTCCCAAAATCTGACTGCCAACAGAAGGCAGGGAACCAGTCTAACATTTTCAACTGGAATTTCTACTACTTTGGTTTGTTCCTGACTGTGGTTTCCAAGAACTTGTTTGCCCTCCGAGATGTTGGACATTTTGTGCTATTTCCCAAACTTCAACTTAGACTCCTGAAGTCTTCATCTGATAAACATGAAATTCATTATCACAAGTGATGTTCTGTGGTGGGGCAGATACAAATATCTCCTTCGTTATATGGTTTCCAGCCTGTGATGAGATAATTAAGATGTTTATATGAAGCTAGGAGGGAATCAGTACGAGGTCAAGCCCACTGTGTGAACTCTTCAGTGCAAAACCACCTTCTCAGGTTTCCACAGGCATTTCTCTTTGAGCAAATATGCTTAATACCTGGCCAAAATGTTCCTTCTCCAGCCAAAATGCATCTTCTAAATGCAGTGCACATTGTCAAAGGGAATGCTTGGGCTCCATTCAAGCCAGTTGTTTGTCAATGTTTTCCCAGCGTTCTCCTAATTGGAAGGGTCTATCTCAGCAGCACTTTAACCACTTGGTTGTGTCCAGGACACCAAACACGTTACATGTGGTAGAAGCAATAAACGAGGGTAACGATATCTTTATATTATGGGCCCTGAATTATCTGCGAGTTATTGAATAAAATTAAATCAGTGTTATCTACATTGTGCATCACCCACTGGCAGTCTAGGCTTGCAGTCGATAGAATAAATCAGGTGCTTAAAATTAGGCACATATTTAAGGGCTCTGTTAAAATACAGCCTAAATGCTCCGCAGATTGAGGAGGGACTTAAAATTTCTCTACTATAGAGAAATGGGAGTGGGATATGGGATCCTCTTCTTGCGTTTAACCCAGTCAAGACCAAACTAAACCCAAGCAAAGCCCTTGTCCACCTTGTCTGCTATTTTGTTCCTATTTCCCTTCACATTTCTCTTTTCTCCAGCCTAAGACCTTTGATAACATGGAACAAATAAAAACCCGCTGTAATTGTTTGCAGCACTGGGGAGCTTTTCTTGACGTGTCCCAGAGCTTCTGCTGCGAGGGAGCCAGGCGCTGGCAGCTGGTTCCACTTTAGAGCCATGTACGAGACTCGCAGCTCATGCAGTTGTCGTACATTTATAAACCCCTATCACGCTGGAGCTCTGTCTCTGCACCCGCCTTCACGCCAGTCTGGTTTTGCTCCTACTCTGTTGAGTTCTGGTTTGGTTTTCTTTCGTCTCCCCCTTTTTTCCCCCTTTTGTTGTTTGCAGAATGAGTAAACATCTTTTCACAAGCAGGAATAAGGCTGTGGACACTTTTGGCTGCTGCTCTCCCTTTGCTACCACTCCTTCATGTGTATAAGTTTAGCAGGGGGTCCAGGAGCTAAAATGGGAAGCACATGGTTTTGTGACTTTACAATTGAAATAAAGAAATCTAATATGACAGAAGCATGTCATATTAGAAGCAGCATGTTGTTTATGGAACTACAGATTTCAGTGAAGGACATCCCTACCAAATCATAATTAAAACTACCATAATGACCTCCAAATTTCATTTGTTGGGCTGAGAGGAAGGAAAATACAGATATTTTCAGCGGGTTCTGCTGAAACAATTTATGGAGACCCACAGCTGGTTTTAATGTGCTGATGAGCTGGGAAAACAGTCAAAATTGTACTCCAGTCAAGTGACTGTATAATATCTGAGGGCAGAAAGAGACCAAAATCTCTGTCATTTTATTTGATCTAATGAATAGTGTTTTGTAACTGAAAAACGTAATTGCTCTGCATGTCTGTTACGTGCACACTTCAGTCGTAAAATCCACAGTGCCACCAGTGGAACCAATGAAAACACTTTTAATGTGATTTCTTTAACTCTTTTAATTCTTCTTAAAAGCCTTTTTGGAATCAACCAAATGTTTGGCATGAAAATCTTCTGCAGCATTTATGCTGGGGAAGAAATCTGTGCTCCTTAAAATAAAAAGAACGGGATTTTTTTTTCTTTTGCAAGAAAAGACATTTCAACAGAATAATTTTCTACCTTTTGAAACGGATTTGAGGTTTTTTCACTGGAGTTGCCTTTGAAGTCAAAGACACAAAAACAATCAACTTTAAAATTAGCACATAAAATTAATGATTGCTGGAGTTGGCAGGCAGACTGGAAAACCAGGACTCTTCTGGCATTTGCATTTGGAAAAGCTTCAAAGCTACTGCCTGTGTTTGACATTAGAAGGGAGGACTGAAGAGTGAGGGAGAAAAGAGGAAAATGCCTCCTAAATATCAGGTGCAGGGCTGTGTTTGCAGACTCAGTCTTAGGGACATCACTTAAAGCAAATCTTGCTAACCTTTGTGCATGAGAGATGGGTGGTTGTCCATTTGATGGGGTTTGGGTTGCGTGGGGGTTTTTTGGGGGGGTTTGGTTCATTTGTTGGGGTTGGGTTTGGGTTTTTTTGTTTGCTGTTGGTTTGGTTTTATCTTTAGCATTTATAGGTGAAAATAAGCAAGGGTTTGGTTTTGGGGGAGAAATGGAAGAAGTCGCTAATACGATCATTCATTACAAATCAATAGCTGTCCCTAACCTCGAAGAAATACACATATAAAGGAATATATGTGTATATATGATATAAATACATATAATACATATATGATATATATGATATATATATCATATGTATATCATATATATATCATATATATATCATATATGCAGTGAGGTGTCCCTGCCCATGGCAGGGGGGTTGGAAGTAGATGATCTTAAGGTCCTTTCCAACCCTAACTATTCTATGATTCTATGATATAAATACATATAAATATCTATTATATAAATACATATATATATAAATGACCAGGTTGTGTTAAGAAGACACTGTTGGAATTAGCTAAACTTAAGAACCTGAAAGCTGTTCCTTCTCTGGAGAAGCTCATATTTGATCACCTACCCAAAGAGCAAAACTAGCAGCCCAAGTATATTTGTTTTCCCAGTAAAATGAAGCATAATCTTTCTGGGGAGCAAAGGACTCAGAACTACCTGCTTTATGCCTTCATTAATGGAAAATTAAGCTTTCCCTCTCCTCTGAGAAGCCAGCCGGGTGTGGGGTTGGTGATGGAAGACAGCTGCAAACAAATGTGTTGAGTGAATTAATGGACTGTGTGGCGGTGGAAAAAGAGGCCAGCTCTGCAGGAAGGATTTGGTTATCACATGGAGTGAGCAAGACTGAGAGAAGGACAGTAGGGACCGTCTGCAAGTTCAGCTACAAACTGTTTGAAAGAGCAGGAAAGGGTGTCATGAGAGAGAGGAAAAAAAGAAACTGCATTTCGAGGAGCAAGAAATGGCAAAAACTGAGCTGCTGTAAGTTAGATTCCTGTTTTCTCGAGTGGATTTGGCTTCAAAAGTAATTAGCTTCTTGTCACATGCTCGGGCAGTCATGCCAAGCAGTTCAACAACACAGTATTTTTGTCATTGCACAAAAGGTGATATTGAGCCCAGAATAACTGTTTCCATTTATGACTTTGGCTTTTGGCCTAAGCTCAAAGGAAGAGGGAAAAAAAAAAGGAATGATATCCTTTTCTGAAGGTCTTGGGGCACTTGAGTTTCAGATGTTAGTGTACAAGAAAGTTGACCAGGGTTTCAGTGTCCATAGTAAAGCCGGCTCCCCAGTAGCTTTATTTGGGTTGTTCTGCTGTTCACTGGTGAGAAAACCCAGTGGAGAAACCATGTGGGATCAGGAACTGAGGCTGCAGCGATTCCTTAACCCTCTGTTTACCAAAGCCTTTTCTAAGGTGTCAGCAACTTCAGGAGGAAGAGGAAGACTCAGTAGCCAAGACTTTGTGCATGATACAACCGCTCTAGCACTAAGAGCTATTCTAGTCCCCATTGAGCCACTGTCTTGGGAATGTTCCTTTAACACCCCAGGAAAACATTTTGGTCCCTTGATGTGTTGGCACGATACACCGAGAAGGGTGACAGAGTTCCTCCCTGCTAAAAGAAATGATTGTTTAGCCTGAATATTGATTAAGCCAACAAATCATGCTGTAATAACCACAGAGGTACCCACAGGGGTAGACACTAGGTGAAAGAGGGCTTTTGCTTGCAGGGAAACGGATAGCACACCAAGGGTGGATGTATATGTGGAAATGGATTTAATAAACACCTACTGAGCCTCCCTCCTACTTCCCTGCCTGTAAATGCCCACCATGGTATTTTAATCTTGATGGTTTTAATAATACAAGAAAATCTGATTAATAATTACATTTGGGAATGTTTCTGCTTAGCTAACTCCAGGGCATTGGTTTAACTTGACACAACCAGTGTTTGCTTTAAACTGTGTGGACCATGCCAGTCCAGGGGGGTGATTCATTTGCTGGCTAATTAACAAATGGCTAATGTAAATGTAACATTCACTTCGACTTACATTCCTGCAACCCAAACTTCTTTTTGATTAGGGTAGCTGCAAGTGGAAGCCAAATATTTTCCTTGCTGGAGCCAAGGGGATGGCATATGCTACTCGTTTAGGTTTCCATTTCCTTTGCATCTTTTCAGGGGCTGGAAGTCAGGCATTAACATTTCCGAATACAGTCATTTCTGTATGAACGTTTGCAAATACACCACCTCTCCCCCCGATTTTCTAATACAACTAAAACTAAATGCCAAGTTCTTTCATTTGCAAAAAGAATGTGCTCTATGAGGTCCCCCATTCATTCTCCTTGTATTTCCTGGTAAATAAATACATACCCAATATAGCTTTAATAAGCTTTTATATCTCTCCTGTGCTGAGCATCCTTCAGCTGACTGGTGAGCATAGGTTTGAATAGGGGGTGGCTGGAGGTGACCAATGCAGCCACATGCACAGCCCATGTGATGCCACATGTGGGAATAGTGCACCTCTGCTATAGACTACAATCCACTTCTCTAATACCTCTTCCATATAGAACCATAGAATGGTTTGGGTTGGAAAGGACCTTAAGATCATTCAGTTCCAACCTCCTGCCATGGGCAGGGATGCCTCACACTAGACCGTGTTGCCCAAGGCTCTGTCCAGCCTGGCCTTGAACACTGCCAGGGATGGAGCATTTGGGCAGCCTGTTCCAGTGCCTCACAATCCTCACAGTAAAGAACTTCTTCCTTAAATCTAACCTGATCTTCCCCTGTTTCAGTTTAAACCCATTCCTCCTTGTCCTATCGCTATATTGTGTCCTTGTCCTATATCATTAGGTTGGATTCCCGGGGCTGAATGAGATGGTTCCTGGCCTGGGCACCCACCTCATATGTTGCTGCAAGAGCTTCTTTGGTTTAAATGCTGGGAAAGTTCATGGTGAGAATCTATCATTGCAATTAAGTGAAGGCTTGTGATCTTATGGAACATGTTAGCATGAATGTCCTACTCCAACTGGCTAGCTCTTTTAGTTTCCTTTGTGGGGAACTACCTTCTTAAGAGAGCTGGATTTTGGAAAGCCTGTCCCAGGAAGCATGAGACAAAGAGCTCAGGTCTCTCAGTGGTAATTTTGCCACTTCTGCTTTGCAAGCTTGGAAAGGTGACATAGATCCTTTTCCTCAGTTTCCAGCTCAGCAAGGCAGAGCAAAGACTGCTGAAACCCATCAGGGGCTGCTGTGAAGTACAATGAAGGCACGTTCCTAAAGAGCTGGGAAATCATCTGATGAAAGCCATATGCTGATACTGGGCTCATCTAACACCGGGTTGATTTGGGGATTATTTGGAAATGACCCAACAGAGAAAGGGCTTGTGATGACTCCTGAGAAATGCCTGCACAGGATCAAGCATCAGCCTGTTTCTCCCAGAGAGAGATCCAGGCACATCCAAGGGGATTTATGTTAGAAATTGCACTGTAAGCTATCACTAGCATCATTCCGATGCGATTTCCAGCACCTCCTCACTACAGCTCTGTTTCAATGAGATGCAGAGATACTTGGGGGTTTTTCACCCTATTTTGATGCCTTCTGGTGATGTAAATGCACTTTTCACTTCATTTTGTTGAAGGTTTGGGCCAGGACTGTGGGTTGAGATTGGGAAATCCAGGTTTGGCTCTGAATTATGCCGCTCTGTTCTGTTGTTGAAACTAGAGGAAGGGCATGAAACGTTCATGGGGCTTGCACTCATGAGGGATACAGATCCATAAACCACCACCTTCTCTTGGTAGCTGGCAAAGGGAGCTGTGCTCTACCTCTGTGTATTTATTTTGCTGCTCTATGGACTGCCTGAATACATAAAGTATCATTGCCCCTGTTTCATGTGCATCCACCTTAGTGAGGCTGGAGCTGAGCAAACACAAGCATTATACATCATTAGTGCTGACTGGTGTCTTCTTGACTCTCCTGTGTTCCCTTATGGCACAGGGAAACCTATATAAGGAAAATTGGCTGGCTCTTGAAAAGCATAAATGAGAGGAACTTGCTGCAGGGAAAGGTTTCTCAGTCCCGTTAGGGTTCGAGAAGGAGTTCAAACACTTCGTTCTTCAGCTGCTGGAGATAAAAGTCCTGGTACATTCAATTCCCACTTTCTGCTGCTGCCAATAAGCAGGGGGGCTTCTTCCTCAGCCTCTTACCACTGCAGAAATAACAAGAGATAAAGCAAGCAAAATAAATAAATGCTTTGTGGCTAGAATAGATAATAATTTCACCAGCTGAATATTAAAATATCAAAGCTGAAGGAAAGGATATGTAATTGTGGGTCTTTGAAGTTCAATAAAGGTCTGTTTCATCAGCATGGTAGCTAGTATTTCAAATGCAAAGACAGAATGATAATACTGCGCTGGCATTTCTGACCCGCAGAGGATACGTTAGGAGAAGAAGGAAGTCCTTTAAGACAGAAGCCATTTAGACTGTGGCTGATTAATTATAGAGTCATAGAATGGTTTGGGTTGGAAGGGACCTTAAAGCTCACCCAGCTCCAACCCCCTGCCACGGGCAGGGACACCTTCCACTAGAGCAGCTTGCTCCAAGCCCCTGTGTCCAACCTGGCCTTGAACACTGCCAGGAATGGGGCAGCCACAGCTTCTCTGGGCACCCTGTGCCAGTGCCCCAACAGCCCAAAATGATCTGTCCCTGGCAGGAAAATGTTGCTCGGCATCATTCATCTCCAATTTACTCATGCTGTATTTCTGGGGTGTTTTTAAAGAAGGATGGTTTGCCCAGGTACAGGGGACACACTTGGAAATGGACCTCTCTGTGCTTAGTTATGCTGGCATTATCCCCAGATTAAAAAGAAGATCCAGTAAACTGTGACTGAACTTGATTTGCTTGGTCACTATTCCTAAACTAGGGCCAGTGTTAAAAAGCTTAGCAACATTTCTAGAATGGTGAAAGTTTGTACTCCACTCTGTATAGCAGGTAAAGAAAAGTCATCCTTGAGACATCTTACACAGGACATAATGACCTGAAAAAGATAACAACAAGGGATTCACGCTGATGTTATTTTATGTTGTTTCGTGGTTTTAGTTTTGGTGACATTGTTAAAGAAAGATGTTTCCTTGTGATCACTATGGCATAAAAGATGTCCTTCACTTATGCTATGCTAGGCTGCAAGAAAAGCTATTAAAGCCAACTGAAGCTTTATGAGTACCAGCAGTGTTTATACCATGCAGTTCTTGTACTTAAGAAGAGTTTAGTACATTAAGGTTACTATAATTTTTAGAACACTACCATCACATTTGGATACGTTTTCTGTTTCACATTAACATCCAGTCCTGTTTTGTGGTTGAGGAAACACAAGCAAGAGCCCCCAGCTACATGCCAGTGGAAGAGGAGCTTTTATTGGAGGGTAGGGATGCTGAATAACCCCGCAGCTTCCTGTTAGTGTTTTAATAGCAGGACTTTCCCACCTGGTCTTGGCTAGAAAGTCAAACTTGAATGCTTGTGTGGAGACCTAGTAAAAGTGTGAGAAGAGTATACCATATCTGATTTCCTAAGTAAAGCGTGTTACATGCTTTTTGGTTCAAAGTAGGAATCAGCCTGTGGGAAAAATACGGTCTTTTTCAGCATGCTTTGTATGCACGGGAGGTCTTGACCAGGGTGTTTAAAACATCACGGTGCAATATAAAAGAAATCAAAGTTTCCAAATGAGGCAGCTCATTTTGGTGTTCAACGCTCACATGCAGTGGCT